TTGGTGTTAGAGCCTAGACAGGCGTGAGCAGTGACTGTTTATTGACTGAGGCCCTTCCGTTGGCCAGCACTGACAGGGTCTGGCGGGAGAGACAGAGGATCGTGGCTCTCTGGCCTACACCCAACCTGGCATCCTTTCTGTTTCGTGTCCCTTTCCTCTCATCTGGCGGCTTCCACGCCTCCCTCACAACCCAGCACCGACGTGCCTCCCTTGGGCGGCTTTCAGTTCAGAACGCCCTCTGTGTTCCTTGGGCCCCAGAACCTCTTTGTGTGTGGCACACTCACGCTGGGCGTGTGGAGAACGGGGAGTGTGTCTGTCTCAGCTACTCTCGAGTCCCAGATGCCCGACAGCTCAAGGCCCAAGCTGGAGGTGACGCTCCATGAATGTTGTTCGGGCCTCCTCCTCTCCAAGCCCCTGACTCCTTCCTGTTTTCAGCTCAGCCCTTCTCCCGTTCCCACGCGAAAGGCCGGCACACCAAGCGTCTTGTGAGTCTCGCGTCTCTGCCGTAGTCTTGAGATAAGGCCAGGGGTCACACTGTTTAACTGGTTTTCTACTGGGAAAAAAAAAAAAAAATCCCACCCAATATTACCATTTCCCCCCAAGTTCCCCCTTGGTTTTTCTGCCACTGGGGGCTGGGGGCGGGGGGGGAACACTCCCCGTGTCCTTCCCTCTTCATAAAGCCACTTTTGCTGGCTCCTGTCACACCTGAGTTTCCAGTCTGCCAACTGCCTCACCCTTTATTATGTAGAACAATTTGGCAGCTGCATTTTGACTCGGCCTCCCCGTTTGCCCCCAACAGGTGGAGTGAAGAGGCCGGCTGCACACAGGGCAGACCCTGAGGGAGTTATGGTAAACCCAGCTGACTCTAGGCACCCAAGCAAATTATTACCGGGTGCCCCAGGCTCCTAACGGGAAGAAATGCCTCCCTGTGGTGCCTCCGGGCCAGTGCTGACCAACAGAACTTTGGGGCGTGACTGGGATGCTCTAAAGCTACACTCTTACTGCCGCCGCTAGCCCTATGTGGCTGGGAAACACTGGAAAAGCAGTTAGTGTGGCCGAGTAACTGAATTTTTTGTTGTATGTTAATTTATTTAAATGAAATCATCCCACGTGGCCGCTGGCTACGGCTCGGGTGGCAGGTGCAGGCGTGGGCAGGGGCTGTCTTCTGGGCCTCCTCTCCCTGATCCCTCAGGGCCAGCTTCTTCCTCCTGTCAGGGGGCCCAGAACAGCCATCTGTCACTCTAACGCCACCTCGCCCCCGCTCAGGTGTCACCTGAGCACATCTTTTATTAACAGCGGAAAAAGAGCAACCAAGGTGCTCGTGGAGATGAGATCTCCAGCAGGCTGAAGTCTCGGGGACCGTGAACATTTCCGGAGGGCTGTTCGGCTGCCCAGAGGAGACGCGTGACATCTCCTCCAGCCGAAGGCAGAGTTTCCGCCCCCAGTACCAGCGGCTAAGGCCTGGGAAGTCCAACAGACCCAGGCATCTGTCTCCGGGGCAGGTCTCCTCAACCCACACTGGCCTCTTCCCTTCACGATCCCCTCCTTCCTCTTCCCTCTCCCAAGACTCCTTATCCCAGAGTCAGGTCCAAGGTGGACAGCCTCTGGGTCTCCAAGCAAGCTGGGGCCTCTCCCTACAAGACCTCTGCTTTCTGCCGGCCCACCTGGCTAATTCCTCCAACCCTGTAAGACTCGGGCCAAGCGTGCCCGCTGCGGGGAAGCCCCCACCGCCCGCCCCACATTCAGGCTGAGTTATTTACTGCCCCTCAGATGCCCAAGGCACGGTGTCCTCACCCAACTGGATGCTCTTGTCCACGGAGCTGTGTCTAACACATCTCTCAGGACTCTTTCTTTTTGTACATATGGCCACCGCTTGCTGAGTGCCCCCCGGGTACCAGATCTATTCTGCATGCTGGTATGTAACAACCAGTTACCAACCAAACCAGTTGTTGGTAACAACTCCTTTACTCCACTGTTATTGCCCCCACTTTACTGATGAGCAAACACAGAGCCATCAGGTCACTTGCCCAAGTTTTACGAGGTGAGGTAAGGGGCCTGGCCCGAATTTGAATTCAAGAATTCTGGCTCCGGTACCTACACTCTTAATCTGTCTTTTGCGTTTGTCTGTTTATTTGTTTTATTTTTGAGAGAGAGAGAGCAGGCGGGGGAGGGGCAGAGAGAGAGGGAGACAGAGGGAGACAGAGGATCGGAAGCAGGTTCCAGGCTGTCAGTGCAGAGCCCGATGCAGGGCTCAGACTCAGAACCATTGAGATCATGACCTGAGCCAAAGTCGGATGGAGGCCTAACTGACTGAGCCACCCAGGCGCCCCACCTACACTCTTAATTTGTAATCATCTGTCTAGGGTTACTAAACATTCTAGAATGTTCGCGTCCTCCATGATTTCCTCCCATCACAAGTAGCATTCCCAGACTACATCTTCTTTTGTTAGAAGCAATGGTGTGGGGACCCGTCTCTGGCCCACTCGGGCAGCTGGTTGACCCGGGCAAAGTTGTTGTGACAATCGAAGCAGGATGACGGTGCATGAAGAACAGAGGTGAACTGGGGCAAGGCTGTGCTCACACCTCTGCTGCATCTAGGTGACTTTGGCTGGCTGGCCAGTGCCGCTCGGATGATTTCCTTCCCTGAAGCCCTCTGAGCCTCCCTGAATTCCCATTCCCACTCAGCAGTAATGAAGAGTCCTACCCAGCCCCAGGTGCCAAAGTAGGCCAAGGGAAGAACAAGGACCTCCATCTGGAAGTAACCAGACAGCATCCCTTTCACCCACTGGGCCAGTGTCAGAGGAGGCCTGCTAAAACAGAAGATTTCAACAAGATCCGGAGTCTTATAATATCCAAAGTGTCCAGGCTTCAACTGAAAATCACTCATCATACCAAGAACTAGGAAGATCTCAAGCTGAATAGTAAGAGACAACTAAAGATGCGAACACCAAGATGGCATAGATGTTAGAATCACCTGGCAAAGATTTTAAAGAAACCATTACAAAAGTGCTTCACCGAGCAGTTATGAACATATGAAACTAACGAAGAAATAGAAAGCCTAAGAAATAGAAGATATAGAGAACAACGAGAAATTTTTATTTTTGAGACTACTTATTTAATGTTTGTTTATTTTTGAGAGACAGAGCTCAAGCAGGGGAGGGGGAGCAGAGAGAGAGGGAGACACAGAATCCAAAGGAGGCTCCAGGCTCTGAGCTGTCAGCACAGAACCTGACACGGGGCTCAAACTCCTGAACTGTGAAACCATGACCTAAGCCAAAGTCAGACGCTTAACCGACTGAGCCACCCAGGTGCCCCACAGCTAGAAATTTTCGAAGTCAAAAAATACAATCACTACAATTTAAAAAAACGAACGAGTGGGCCCAACAGCAGAATGGAGAGAGCAAAGAATCAATGAAATTGCAAGTAAAACGAGAGAATTTACCCAATCTGAACAATAGAGAGAACATGGTCTGGGAGAAAACGTGAAAAGAACCTCAGGGACGTGTGGGACTATAATAAATGTTCTTACATTAGCGTCTCTTCCAAATCCCTCACCCTGAATATGAGACGGTTGGGGGAGGGGTCCCAGAAAAGAGGAGAAACAGAGTGGGGCTGAAAAAGTCTTCAAACAAACAATGCCCCCGAATTTCTCAAATTTGGCAAAACTTACAGATTCAAGAAAGCTAAAGAAACCCTCCCGCAGGATAAACCCAAAGTAATCTATGTCCAGACATATCATAGTCAAACTTCTTACAAGCAGTCAGGATATTTACAAGCAGTCAGAGAGAAACAGTGCATTGCCTAAAGGGGAAAGCAATTGGAATGACAGAAAATTTGTCATTAGAAACCCTGGAGGACAGAGGAAGGGAGCACAACAACTTTTCAAGTGCTAAATGAAAAGAATTCTATATTCCACAAAATATCCTTTAAGAGTAAAGAAATCAAGACATTCTCAGGTGAAGAAAACCTAAAAAAAAAATCTGTTACCAGCAGACTATCCTAAAAGAATGGCTAAAGCAAATTCTCTAAGCAAAAAGGAAATGATAAAAGAAAGAATCTTCAAACATCAGGAAGGAAGAACATGGTAAGAGCAAAAATACTGAAAACTGTCATAGATTTCCCTTCCTGTCTTGAGTATTTAAAATTATGTTTGACAGTTGAAGAAAAAATCATAACATCATTTAATACGGTTCTCAATGAATGTAGAGAAATATTTAAGACAATTATAAATGGGGCGCCTGGGTGGCGCAGTTGGTTGAGCGTCCGACTTCAGCCAGGTCACGATCTCGCGGTCCGTGAGTTCGCGCCCCGCGTCAGGCTCTGGGCTGATGGCTCAGAGCCTGGAGACTGTTTCCGATTCTGTGTCTCCCTCTCTCTCTGCCCCTCCCCCGTTCATGCTCTGTCTCTCTCTGTCCCAAAAATAAATAAATGTTGAAAAAAAAATTAAAAAAAAAAAAAAAAAGACAATTATAAATGGGAGGATAAAGGAACACACAGGGAAGTAACACTTTTACACTTGACCTAGTAAAATGTCAGCTCCAGTAGACTTTGATAAGATATATATATGTGTATATGATATATATGTATATGTATATGATATATATGTGTGTATATATATGAGTGTTGTGTACAAACACACACCTTACATTACATACTATATTATATGATAATATACAGTAATAATTAAATTATATTTAATTATTATATATTAATATAATTATATTATATTAATATAGTAA